CCGCCCCCCCCCTTCCGCGATTTGGGGCGAAACGCGGCCGTTTCGGGGCGATCGGTGGCGGCAGCTCCGGCACAGCGGCTCCGTCCAAAGCCCTTTATTGAGGGGGGGGCACCGGGGACCCGCGGGGGTCCGGGCTGGGCGCTCCCGCAAGGCCTTGGGGGTCCCCGAGGTCAGGGGTCACAGAGGTCCTGCCCTGTGTCCCTGAGGTCAGGGGTCACGGGGGCCCCGCCCTGTGTCCCCCAGGTCAAGAGTCCCCCAGCACCGAGTGGGCAGGATCCTGCCCCCCGTGGCCTGGGGACACAAGGGGTCCGTGCCGGGGGTGCCACCTGGCGCCCTCGCGCATCCCCCGCTGTCGCAGGTCCTGGGGTCCTTCGGGGTCCTGGCGCTACGGGGGTCAGGTGCCGGAGGTCTCAGGCGCAGCGGTCACAGGTTGCGGGGGGGCAGGGCCACGCGGTAGAGGACGCGGCCAGTGGCCTCCAGGAAGGTGATGGTGGCCGCGTGGGCATCCAGGCGCAGGTGGGCAAAGCCACCGGGGGATGCGGGCGCCCCGAAGAAGAAGCGGAGGGAGCCGGGGGGCACGGCCCCTGCATGTTGCTGGGATGCCTCCATGAAGTTGCCGGCGCCGCTCACCACGTAGCCCACTCCCCCCTCCTCCAGGAACTGGGGGGCAAAGATGGAGGGGAGGGGCGGTCAGGGGTCCGGGCTCTGGGGTCCCTCCTGGATGCCTGGGTCCCTGCCCACCCCCTGCTCCAGGGACTGGGGGTCAAGGGGACCACGATGCCTCAGTGTCACAGGGGGCTCCCTGGACACCAGGGGCCAGTGGGGGGAATCTAGGGGGTCCCCTGGATGCCAGGGTCCCATGGGGGTGTTGGGGGCGTCCTTGGACGCCAGGGTCCCATTGGGGGGGCGCCCAGACACCAGGGTCCCGTGTCAGGTTTTGGGGGGGGTCTCTGGACACTGGGGTCCTGTGGAGGGGTCTGGGGGGTCCCCCAGAGGCCGGGGTTCCCGGGCTCACCTGCAGGTTGTGGTCGTGGCCACAGAGGGAGGCGGGGGCGGGGGGGGGCCGGAGCCGGGGGC